GAGATGCCCGACAAGGAGGAGAAGTGGGCATCCGATACCCACCTCTGAGAAAACAAAAAGGGAATTAACTTAGTCTCTAACAGCTAATTGCCGCTCTCGCCAATCAAGAAAGTGCCACATCCAATGCTGTAACTATAGTTTATTTTCGAAGAATAAAGAAAAGCAGGGGACGAAGAGAATCATGGTGGGTGGCCGCATCGTTGGAGTGTGATAAGCACGAAGATGTCGTAATGCTTTAATTCCTTCGAGTTTTTTTTTTTTTCCCTGGCACAGTATTGTCTTATTGAAAACAATCATGACACTAAGGTCCCGTTTGGTAGGAAGCATTGAAAATGAGAGATTGGGATTGAAATTGTAATTGAAAAAAATCATTAAAATAATACTTAGCATGAGTAATTATTTGTTATATGGGATTAGGCAAACCCATAAAGGTAGGATTGGGGAATACCACTTCCCCCCATGGTATTCTCCAATCCCACATATATGGCTTTGGCTAATCCCATATATCAAACAATCTTTTATACTAAACACTCTCTTGATAGATTTTCTCACTTGTAATCCCAATTCTAATCCCTCATTTTCAATGCTTCCTACCAAACGCAACCTAAATATAAACATTTTTCCTAACAAAGATTTGAATTTTGATTTGTCATCGTGAGAAACTAATTGTTTCCGCTAGATCTTATTCTATCAGTTCCTTCAAGTTTTAACTAGCAGAAATCATCGTTGTCCAACATGACACAAATCCTATAAGCAACCGTAGTCAGACAGCCATACCAGAATCAATATCTCCAGTTGTGCTTGTTTCATGCAACCAGTTGAGCCTAACTATTTGTTTGGATAGAATTAAAATTAGAGAGGCATGAAGGAAAACCTCCTAAAATAGTACTCCTCCGGTCCTAATTATAAGACCCAATTGACTTATTTGAGGAGATTAAGGAAGTAAGTTAAGTTGATTATTTATAATAAATAAGTGTTGTTATTCCTAAAATATCCTTGCTAATTAAGTATATTGGCTAAAACTATCATTATTAGAAGGATTATTTTTGAAAAAAATGCATAAATATAAGAGATAAAATGGATTGGGTCTTATAATTAGGACCAAATAAAAAGTCAAATTGGGTCTTATAATAAGGATCGGAGGAGTATTTTTTTTTTGCTGTTTTTGAAAAGTTTTTCTTGTTAATATTTCTTTCCTCCATTCTTTCTAATTTTTTCCCCCATTTTTCCTCCATCCAAACATAACCTTAAGTCTTCACTCGGAATAACCTCTAATTCTGTTCGACCTGCACCTAAACATTTGATTCTATAGTTGAACGAGCATAAATAAAAAGTTGTTGAGGGAGGGGACCTCATTCGATGTTCATCTCAAGAATAAATACCCCGTACTTGTTTTTGAGAAGATGATGATTAGCTGATATGCCAACCGTCCAAATTTAACTTTAATGGCCTCGCATTATTTTTTTAGTTAAAAGTTAATTTAAAAAAGAGACAATAAAAAAAAAAAAAGAAACTGAAATTTTATAAATGCTAAATAAGAAATATCGACAAAAATTTATTGTCATCTGTAAATTCAGACTTGTTAATACCAAATAAAGTTGTGTTACCAAACTTGATTTAAAATTTATAATTTTCAACTTCTTTTTCTGTTATTTTTTCTTTAAAAAAATAGTAATAGTTAAAAGTTCGCTCTTTTTTATGTGACAATAAAGAGCTTGAAAATAAACAGCAAGAGAACCAGGTCGCTGAGCCCTGCCAATAAAGCACCCTGTATTTTACTTTTCTGATTATGTAAACCTTAATTAATTTAAATAGATTAAATAAACTAAAAAATTATTTAATTATATTAATAAAAGTGACATGATCTCCTTAAAATATTCATGCATATCATAACATTTGATTCTTACATTTGTTATTAAAATTAACTTTCTAACTGACTCTAAACTTGAAAATGAGAAGCAATTTTTTAAACTAAAATACAACTTTAAGACGGAGATATATGATATATGATTTTTTTTTGGGGGGGGGAAATCAATCTCATGCATGATCATGTCACTGTGATATACTTTTTTCACTTTGCTTAAACACATCTTTTTATTTTAAAAAATTGCTGATAACTTAACTGAGTACTGTGGATGTTTTTTTTTGGTAAAGGAAGTATTGTAGATTTTGAAAGTACATAATTTTCAACTATTCAATTATATGCTTTAACATTTACTGATCAGTAGGTAAAATATTTGGAAAAATCACTGAGATTAATATATACATATATATATAACCACAAAAAATTTCTCATAACAAGTAAGTGGCATGAACTTTGCTGTTATCTCTTACATTAAAACTTATGATTCACTTGTTATGGAATTTTTTATTATAATTATATTTTTTTAATACTTACATAATGATCTTCCCAAAATATTTTGAACACATGCTATACGTTTATATAACTGTAATCTTATTTTATTTTTACAATATGATTTTTTAACAACTAATGCATTTTATTAATGGAAACAACCAACAAACAATATACAGCTACAACAGATCTGTCAAGTACAACAAAGCATATCAACCAATGCCCCTACGATCCAACAGCACTAACTCTCGTTCGAGAATTCCACCGTTTCCTTGTGGTAAATAAACTGGACAACTTTATAGTTCATGCATGCGACTAAAGTAAGATGCGCACTGATTTATTAACTATGCTGCTTGAATTCGATGCAGGGACATTCAAGGAATCGGACTGTAAATAAAAATGTAGCATTTTAGTTCAATTTTGAAATACCGCTGCATTAGGTAAACTAATTTGAAAATAGGCCCCTAAATGTTGAAAATCTGCCCTGCTCTTTTCTGTTTTACTTTACCCCCTATGTTGAAACCAAGAAGCAAAATAGGAAGTATTTCTAGACATTCCAACTCATTTTACACGCATTTATCTATTGAAAAGGGGTAAAATAATTGAATAATATAGATAATTCCTCGCTGGCAAAAAATATATATAATTCATCTTTTTTTTATTTTAATTATAATACACTACAAAGTGAATCTTAAATTTATTTTAAACTAGAGGTAGTGTTTGTGCAGTACTCCCTGCAATCCCAGATACAAGACTCCCTTCCACCTTGTCCTTTATCCTGGACATGGGATTTCAGCGTGCAATGCTATTGTATTAGCCATTGCTACATAAGTAAAACTTAGGTTCGCATGCTTACAATCAATTTTCTGATCAGAGCTCAATATTTAAATTTTTGTGATATATTTAATTATAGCCAATAATATTTAAGTAAATGATAAAATGATAAAAAAGTCAACTATTAAGGTTTTGATTGAAGAAATAGCCGTAAAAAATATAAGCAATAAACAAAGGGATTGTTTGAAATCATAATTAAAAATACGTAATAAACACACTTCATGTAGATCGGGACAAAACTCCTTACACACACTCACATACTTATTCTTTATTCCGTAAATCATAATTAGAAAACTGTTTATAAGTAGAGCTGGTAATATGGGTTGAACCCGTGGGTCTAACCCACCAACCCGCCAGTAAACGAGCCTTTTGAACCAGTCCCGCCAGGCCCGCAACTCGCCGTGGGTTAGCCCGCCAACCCACGAGCTAACCCACATTTTTTTTTTATTTTTTTTAAAATTTTTTAATTATTATAATTATATTATTATATATTATATCCTATCTAAAAAATAAAAAAATACCTATATAATTTATTTGGTGCTTTTAATCAAATATTTCAAGAAAAAACAAAACTTTTATTTTTTTTGGATATTATATAAGAAAAAAATATTAACAAGTTAAAAAAATTCACACAAAAAAAGTGTTGGCAGGCCAGCCCACCAACCCACCTTGGCGTAGCCAACCCGCCTTCAAATGGGTTGCTTTAGCCTAGCCCATATGAGTTTAACTCGTCACGAGCCTACCCGCAACCCGCGGGTTGGCCCATATTACCAGCCCTATTTATAAGTCATTCAAAACACACTCATAATTTTTGTACTCATAGAATATTCTATTATTTAATTAACTTAAAAGTGGGTGAGTAAATAAAGTCTACCTATTAGCTCACTTTTGCAATTAACTTTAATAAAGATATACTTGGTAGTTTAGCTACTTTCCTTCATTCCCAATATTTGATTGAAAAACTCACATATCTAAGACACGTAGGAGTAATATAATATCTAAATCAATTTTAAGATCCTACAATAAAAAAGGTTTGCATTTTTATATTTTTACAAATCATCACAGTGTCGTTTACCCATTATGTACACATTTTCTTCTCATGATCTTTTTTCAATAAAAACTTCGCCCAGAGTTGAGAGCAAGATATCGAGCCATGGGATAAGGCCCGGCCCCATGCCCCCATCCAAAGACGGGTCTCTTGTCTTTTGGATCCCAGCTAGTTTTATGTTTTGGCTATTATGAGTTGCCGACTAGTTGTCTATAATAAATATAAGTTATTTTTTTAAAAAAATTTTATATATGCAACTAATATAAATATTTTAAAAAATAAATTACAAATAGAGGGAGCAAAGTATATTAATATCTTATATTTAGAACAAAATTCAATTCTCAACTATTATTAAGTACGGAAAATAATATGATGTAAATATTAGCTTTTCCTTCTCATTTCTGTCCTCTACTTAATCATGTCACAAAGTAATCTACTTGTAAAAATTCAAAAGTGAATAGGAAATTTATATTTTTTAGTTTTTACCAAGAGTATTTTTGAAAATATATGTTAATTATACTTAGAAATTTATACCTGGGAAAAATAAAACTTACAGTTAAGGATTAAAAAAAGGTGAGAATTAGGATTTATATGTAGTGATGAAGGAAGTGTAAAATATATAAGACTGCTGCCCTATCAATACGCGCTTGATGTTCTTCCCCAGCCATTTAATTCTTAAATTTTGATCAATTTACGGGTTGCCAATCTTGTTTAACCTATTCATTATCCACTTGGAGATATCCAAAGACTGAAGATGCTCCTATCATGGTTCATGGAATGGAATATAAAAGTAAAAATGGAAAGCATATATTGAAATCTTAATTATGAATACTTACTGTAAAATACAAATGGCGCCCGCCGCAAGCATCAAATGACGAACTCGTGCCTATTCTTATCCCTTCCAACGTCATAAGTACACCCATGAACCATCCCAGCCCAACGTAGTCCACACCTCACTCGCCACGCGTCCAGCTCTGGGGCATCCAATACAGACTACAGTTCTCTACAGTACCCTTCTGCTTGGATTGAAGTTGACGACTTGAAGTTGAACCTGTTTTCTTCGGATAAATAAACAATAGAGTAATTAAGAGAAGGAATGGTTCTTTTGCTTGCACCTCCACCTTCTACAGCCTACACTTGCGGGATCTACCTATCGGCGAACGTTACTGATAAAAGCTACGCGCCTGCGAGGGGCACGCGCTACTGTGCGAGGGCTATTTCGAGCTGACGAGCCAAGTAGGCAGGAGCACTCAAATGAGGCAGATGACCCTCCGTGTCTAACCACTGCACCGTGGTCCGGCCGCCCAAGTGTTCCCTCATGTAAGTCGCCACCGACGCCGGCACTGAAACATCCCTGGCCGTCTGCATAATACAACACGGCACCTTCACTAAACCTAAAATCCCTCTCAGATCGCTGTTAAAAACCGTCTGAGACACAAACAGCGATATGTCGGGCCTCATGTTGAACAAGGTCCTCGTGAATTCTCGGACTGCCGCCGGTACGTCCGCTCCGACCGCCAGAGGCGCGAAACCGCTTGCCCACGCTTCGTAGTTATCCTTCATTGCAGCGAACACTTCTTGGATTTCTGCTTCCTCGAATCCTCCGTGGTAATCGCTGTCGTTTAGGAATCTGAAAAGGAGGGCGCAAATTAAAGGTGAAAAAAGGAATTGAAGGCAGGGGAACCAAAGGATGGTGGTATGGATCGTCACCTGGGAGAAGCGCCGATGAGGATGAGTTTGGTGAAGAGTTCGGGACGGCGAATGGCGGCGAGCATTCCGATCATGGCGGAGATGGAGTGACCGACGTAAGCGCAGTGAGTGACGCGAAGAGCGTCGAGAATGTCCAGGAGGTCGTCGACGTAGGCGTCGAGGGTGGTGTAGCGGCGGAAATTGAAGTGGTCGGGGTTAACACTGCCGGCGCAGACGAGGTCGTAGAGAATGACAGTGTAGTGGCGAGTGAAGTAAGGAAGGATTCGCTGCCAGGCGGATTGATCGGTGCCAAAGCCATGGGCAAGGACGAGGACCCTGTCGCCGGAGCCTTCGACGCGGACATTCAAAGCGTCGAGGATGGAGGTGCCCATCGTATTGGGGGTGCGATGTTGAGGGAAGAGAGATTGAAGAAAGGAACTGAGGGAGGAGAGAGAGGGGAAGGAAGGGAGGAGGGTGTGGGTGAATTTGTTTGTTGGGAATCGAATGGGAGCGAGGAAGAGGAAGCTAGGCGCCAGCTAGCAAGGAAAGCTATGGCAGAGTGGAGAAAATAAGGCAGGCGGGTTTGTGGGGGGTTGGGGTTTTCTGTTTTATCTCTGTTGGTTTTTCTTCAACCCTCCGCCTGTTTGCTTGGGCGGCGTTTTCGGGTTTATTTATAAATCAAATATAAAAAATATAACAAATTAAGTTTCCGTAAATTATAAATAATTTGAGTTCTTTTATATTTTTTATTTAAAACTTATAAAATGTGACATTAATTATTTATAAATCCTTAACATTGTATTAGCTACTGTTCTTAATATAAAAACTAGTTATTTGCTCAAAAATAAAAAATAAAAACTAGTTAGAGATTATATTTGATTCTAAATATAATACGTCAATTCATTTGTCCTTCGTATTTATAATTTATTCTCTAAAATATATTTATTAATTATAAATGTCAAGAAATTGTTATTTAAGATAGTCATGATAAAAAAAAGTATTTTAGAAAAATTAACTCATATATGTTATAAAAAAAACAAACTTAACATGCTTAAATTAGCTAAATACTACCTCCGGTTTTTAATATAATACCTCGTTTGATTTTTATTCTGGTCTTAAATATAAGACTTCAGTATACTTTGTCTCTCATATTTATTCATGTTTTTCAAAGTAGTCCTTGTGATAATGATAATTTTAGTCAATACACTTGATTAACAAAGATATGTTAGGAAAAACAATACCTATTTATTACAAATAACTAATTTAACTAGTTTTTCTAATATATTCAAATTAATCAACTAGCTTTTATATCAAAAAGAGGATATAGTAGTTTTTATATTAGAAGCCGCATGTAATGTTTCATTCATTCGCAGCAATATGATGCATGAGATTCTGTAATTGTTGGTTTGTTTAATGAATCAAATTATATTGTTACTTTTTTTTTTGCTAAGAAAAACATCATATGCCCCTTAAATTAAAGGTTAGATCACACGCATCTAGCATTTTTTTAACTTCGAAACTGCATAGGAATTAATTTTTGTCCTTAAATCTGACATTTTTTTGTCTTAATTGGATTAATTAAATGATAGCTTTTTGTATGTGATCCAATTCACGCACAGAAGTCAACTTTAAAAAATAGAAAAAGTTTCTACATGCTATTCGATCGATTTGGCGTTGCAATCACGCCTCTTTTTCATCACAAATTTGTTCAGTGTCATTCCTCTTGTCTGAGGACCATAAACTTAATTCAAGAAGAACATATATGATGTTCTATACTCAGTTTTGTCAAAAAGGAGAAATTCAGACAATTGGGGAAAAAACAACACCGACATAAATTTAAAAAGTTAAATAACTTACTTAGTTTTAACCGATGTGACCTTGTTTTCTTAAAATTCTCATGCATGCAAAACGTTGGCTTATACTCCTCCGGTCCTTATTATAAGATCCAATTTGACTTTTTATTTGGTCCTAATTATAAGACCCAATCCATTTTCTCTTTTATATTTATGCATTTTTTTCCAAGATAATTCTTATAATAATGATAGTTTTAGCCAATATACTTAATTAGCAAGGATATTTTAGGAATAACAACACTTATTTATTATAAATAACCAACTTAACTTACTTCCTTAATCTCCTCAAATAAGTCAATTGGGTCTTATAATTAGGATCGGAGGAGTATATATATATGAATATATAAATTAGATTAAATTAGTTTGGAAAAAATAATAACTACAAGAGAAGAGTTATATTAGAGTTTTACCCCGGCCTCCAAAACGTAATTGTGCATTTGATTTACTTCGTTGGCAAAAAAAAAAAAAAAAGACTTGCTTCATTCTTACACGGTCGATGTTTGATTTACTTAATCCGAACGAGGTAAATAGAAGCTGGGCATGTGATAGGTCGGGTTGGAATCGCCACCAGCTAGCCCACTTCACCTATCAGTATTATATCAAATTCCTATATGCAAATGTAGGAAATTAATTGTACTTTATTTGTAATCACTTATTTATTTTGTCAAATACTTTCACAGTTCTCTGCATTTCAAATTAGAATCGAGTGTCCGTGTGTTGTTTCCCTTTCTTTTTTGGGTGGGTGGGTGAGCAGATACGGGTGTGTCGCTCGCACACATATGGAAGCCTTCCCAGATTCCCACCCACTAGAGTGACCAAGTGATTAATCTAGCAAGACAGAGGCACTATATATGAATTTATTGTGGGAGCGAGCACACAGGCAATGGGTATTTACTTCTTCAAGAATCCTTTCACTCCTCTTCCATTAAAAAGATTATTAATATATGTGTGACGAAAAAATAACATGCCAGCAAAAATCTGTGATAGGTGTGAAAAAGAAAATCAACTACTACCTCTGCTCTTTAATATACTACTACCTCTGGTTCTTCATATAAGACTCTATTTGATTTTTATTTTGATCCTAAATATATAAGACATCAATCTATTTTGTCTCTCATATTTATATATTTTTTTCCAAAGTAACTCTTATAACAATGATAGTTTTAGTTAATACACTTGATTAGTAAGGATATTTTAGGAAAGACAATACCTATTTAGAACAAATAACTAACTCAACTTACTTCCTTAATCTCCTCAAATTAGTCAACTGGCTCTTATAATTAGGACCGGAGGTAGTATCTTGTTTGTCTTTTATTTTGGTAATAAATATAAGACCTAAATCTATTTTATCTCTTATATTTATGTATTTTTTTCTAATATAGTCCTTCTAACAATAACAGTTCTAACCAATACACTTGATTAGTAAGGATATCTTAAGAAAGACAACACCTATTTATTACAAATAACTAACTTAACTTCTTTTTTTAATCTCCTCAAATTAGTTAATTAGCTCTTGTAAATAGGACCGGATGTAGTATATAACATTAAAGAGTATAAGATATATGGTTCCTTCATAGAGTGGTTAGAGTACCAATCACAATTATACAAACATGCGGTGAGTCCATCCATAGACCATAAGTTAATCTGGTGTAAATGACAAGTCTTCAAATGTAACCAATGCATGACTATGCAAGTGTCAGGCTGATTTAAGAAAAAAATTATATAGACGTATAATCTTATATTGAGTGGTGAGATGAATAACCACGGGAGCAAGGTAACTCTGTCCAAAGTGTTATTTGCCTTTAGGGGAAATGCTCAAATCGATCTCACGCACAAAAGAGGAGACTGAAGAGACATTACTGTTGCGTGCTTTCTTTCTCCCCCCCCCCCCCCAAAAGGGGGTTACAGGCGTTGATTACAGGATAGAGGTGCCGGTCCCTTTATTAAGTAATTAGAGGATTAATAATTACAATCATCATATTATAAATATGTGTTGTAAGTCCATCGAAAACCAAAATATATAGCTTAAATTAGTTTGGTGTAAGTGACAAGTCATGTAATTCATTTGTAACTCTCATAGGATATCAAGAGCGTCACGCTGATTTTAATAAAATAGTAGGTGGTATGTATGATAATTCCAAGTTGAGTAGCAAAAAGATTAACCACAGTCACGCAAGTGTATGATTAGTCAATCCACAATTCCTTATCACATAATCTAATTACTATTTACTTTCAGGGACAAATCTCACGCACAAAAGAGGATATAGTCATACAGACATACATACATATCGTATACTATCTCTGGTTTTTAATACAAGACCTTGTTTGATTTTTATTTTCATTTTAAATGTAAGATCTCAGTTCGTTTCGTCTTTTATATTTATTTATTTTTTTAAGATAGTCCTTTTAATAATAATATTTTTAGTCAATAAATTTGATTAATAATAATATTTTAAGAAAGACAGTACTTATTTATTACAAATAACTAATTTAACTTTTTTTTTAATTTATTTAAATTAGTCAATTAATTTTTATATTTGGAATCAGAAGTAGTATTAATTAGAAAGGGTTTAGTTTTTTGTTATTGTTTTTCCCTCTAAAAAGATGATAAGTGTTGACTATTAATTAATGGGTGGTCATTTCATGAGCAAATGGACACAAAATTTTTAGGACAGGGCGATAGGACTCCATATGATGTCGGGTACAGAGATGGTGGTGTGGGTATGTGGCAAGGTGGCATGAGCACCAAGAGCCGTGGGCGGAGGTCCGAATAAGGCAGGTAAAAAGGACGTAGCCCCTGGGATTTGCTGCTTCAAAATTAGAATTAATCTCAGTGTCATTGTGACACTTGGCATGGGAATTTTAACCCCCTCACTTACGTGGTTGCTGTCTTTTTAATGTCAAAGCAAGCAGCAACCATCATTTGCTACGCGGATCAAGTTACAATTAACGACTAATCAATTCCACATGATTAGTAAAAAAAGCTCGCATAAAATATAGTTACCAGATTTTATTGAGCCGAAGAGGGAAGGGCGGTGACCCCCTGACAGCGACGGCCGATGTGGAATTCATGTTTTTCCCCCATCAAGTTGTCACGGTGAACTCTCTCCGGACACACTTTATTACCCTAAACGACAAGAAGACAGACCGTACGACACCCCGACGCGTGTATGAACATGGAGAAGCCAGACACATGAACATGTAGTGCATGCATTAAAGCTGAACCAGTGTACCATCCCTCCCAAGAGATCACGCTTGTGACTGGGAATGTAAATTGTAGACTTTATTATCATTTTAATACTATCTTTCATATTGGATTTAATTTTAAATACTCTTCCGATCCTTAATATAAAATTTAATTATTGAGTTGATTTTGATACTAAATATAATATCTATTTCTTATATTTATTAATTTTTTAAAATTATCTCTGTACATACTTTTTCAACCATAATCAAGTAGAAGAGAGATATATATATTAAAAAAGATGATTATGGTGTTTTAGAAAAACATGTCATATATCTTATAATTAACTAACTTACCTAACTTCTTTGATCTAATTATATTAGTTAAATAGGTCTTATATTAAGGATCGGAGTATAAAACATCAATTCACCTTGTCTCTTATATTTATCTATTTATTTTTAAGATAATATACATGGTAAGTATTTCATTAAGTGGTAGTTTTAGCTAATACACATGATTAGTAAGAGTATTCTAAAAAATATAACACTTATTTATTATAGATTGCTAATTTAATTAACTTTTTTAA